TAAAAAAATAATTTTTGCCCAAAGTATTTGGGCAATTTCGGCTACTAATAGAAGCAGTTTCGACCAGAAACCTTATAAACGTCATCATAAAATTCTTCGTGATAGTATACAGGGTATAACTAAACCTGCAATTAAGAGATTAGCTAGACATGGAGGTGTTAAGCGTATTTCCGGTCTCGTATACGAAGAAACTCGAAGTGTATTAAAAGTTTTTCTTGAAGATGTGATTAAAGATGCTATTACTTATACAGAGTATTCTAAACGCAAGACTGTGACATCTCTTGATATTGGTTAGTTATCATCTTTAATTTTTATTACTATCATTACTTAATTACTTACTATTATTATAATTATTGCAGTTTATGCACTCAAAAGGAAGAGTATGACTGTTTATGGATTTAACAAATAAACTGAAATTATCATATAGTCAAAACTATTATTAACAATATTAATTATATTAATTATCTTATCTTTCTCTTCTTGCATAAAATTATTTATTATTACTATTGATATTAAACAAATAAAAACCATTGCTTTTATCAATTATTATCATAATTTTTGTTCCTGAAATTCTTGGTGATATAAATGTTCACTTTGTCTGGTTTTGTTGCAGCATGCCCCAATTATTATTATTTTTATATATACACAAAAAAAAAATTTTTTTTAAAAAAATAACAAAAAAAAATTTTAAAATGAAATATTATGGCAATGCCCCAAAGAAACTTTATGGTTGATCTAATATTATGGTCATTTAATACTGTTTGAATCCGTATTTCACAATCATGATCTTGTGGTTTCTGTGGGAGTCATGGTGTTCCTTGCAAGACCATTTCTATGTCAAGTTCAACTTTACTTAGATTGTCAGTAAAGTGTCCTGTTGGTAAAGTGTCTTGTTGGTAAAGTGTCCTGTTGGTAAAATGTCCTGTTGGTAAAATGTCCTGTTGGTAAAGTGTCTTGTTGGTAAAGTGGGTGTCAGTAAAGTGTCCTGTCTGTAAAGTGGGTGTTGGTAAAGTGTCCCAGACCCCATTGTGACTATATCAAGAAATCTGTTATATTGTGAAGAATTTTATTATTATTATTAAACCTCAATCTGTTATTATTCATTAAATTGAGGTACACTACATTGAGATTCACTATATTTAATATATTAAGAAAAATTTAGGAATCTGGTTTGATTTGAATTGATTTGAATTGAGTCATGAATCAAATCAAATTGACTACAGAACTCTAAAATTCAATTCAATTCATTCAGAGCCTTACTTGTAGGGATGCCTCAAGTAGCATACTTGTATATAGGTTTGTAATTATTCAGTGTTCAATAGCTATCTGTGTGTATAATAAAGAGAATGATATAAGGCCAGAACAATATATATATATATAAGAGGAAAGCCTAGGTTATATTGGGCAGAGGCCAGAACAATATAAAAAGGTCATTATATTAGGCAAAGGCCAGTAATAATATAATGGGAAAATCTCTAATTATCTTGGGGCAAAGGCCAGAACCAACACAATTAAAGTCACTAGAGAGCTAGTGGATTACCTTTTAAATGTGAATCACATTAATAAACTAAACTTGGATTGCTCACTCACACTATTAACTTTAGTTTGAGTAGAAGGCAATGATGGTTTTTGGCTAATCTCCACAAAGCTCAATACATTGTAGTGGTGCCTAAATATTTATATATAGGGTCAATGCCAGTGTTTCACATTGGTTTGAGAAGCATTGTAGGCAAGAGTTTAAGAGTCTGAATAGATCACATCCTTTGGTTCATTCATCCAATTTATATTAATTCAAACATTTTTAAACCCAGTTAGTAATAAGAAAAGTACTTTAAAAAAGCATTTAATGGATTTTGATTTTTATCAAAATTAAATAAATTCTTTTTTTATGTAAACATTTAATGTCAGGAAATATATTTGAAGGTAACTGTTCTTCATTGTAAATCCTTGCAATAGCATCTATATAGTCAACATCATCAGCAACATCATATAATGTTTTGAAACACTCATCTAACTCTTCAGAATTTTTCTATTGAGAAATATCAATTGCAGTTGTTTGTTTATTTGAGGTTGGCAATCTTAAAAATAGCATGGCAAACATTCATTTTTTGTAGCAACTAAAAATGAATAATTTAATTTAATTTTACTATTGTGAGATAGTAAATCTTGGACCTATCAATTACCCGGCTAATATTGACCAATTAGAACGAACTTACTACGGAAG